TCAAACTGAAGAGAATAAGATTCTTTAAATAGAACTCCTAAAAATCCCTAATCTTGTCTAACAGGTGAAGGAAAATTAAATATCTTTCCTATCAAATAAAAGACTAAAATAATTAAATAACTTTACTAAAAACTATAGGAGTAAAATACTAGTAATAAATAAAAGGAATAAATAATTAAGTTAAAGATCCCAAAGATCATGCTTGTCCTCATCTCCATGATTCTCCTCCCCCCAAACAGGATTCGCCCTCGAATCCGACAAAATCTTGTCTCTACAGCATATCGATACAACCTTTTCCATTCAACGCCCAACTGAACTAGAGCATTCATCCTATTAATTTGGATACCAAGAACATATATTATCACAAGAACTTGTGCGGTTGTGTATACGCAATATAAGGTCGGAACTTGCTCATAATCTATGTCGTTGAAATTGTTAACAAAATGCTTAGCGTTAGCCGCTTCCTTAGTGCAGACAATTTCCTCGTCATAAAAAAGAGTCAGTCCCTCATATTTGGTTGACCCCTTGTCATAAAAAAGAGGCAGACCCGTATATTCTGGCAACCCCTCGTCATCCAAGAACTCGGCGGCTTCCAAGCCGCCGGACAATTCCGAGATCGCGACCCGAAAAGAAGCTCCCATTGCCGATCATCGACGAAGTAGTCCTCGTCCCATGTTGCTATATTACCGAAAGGACGTACCTTGGATATGGTGACGTCAAAGTCACCATCACCGAAAAGCGATTGAGGCCATCGGGAGCAGGACACCTGCGTGTGCCCCGACTACGTCCACCGTCCATTGTCTCATAGCCGCCACGTCCTCCGTCTAACCCGCGGTTCATTTTGCTTGCCATGAAAATTGGTACGTGGAGCCAATCAGATGTCCTCGAGCTCCACGACTAGATCTGGAATTTGAAGACCCACCACATCGAATTGGCAGCGGAAGCCCGCAGTCAGATCCACGACTTGTCGATCCAATGCATCGATGGCAGCGTCCCGCTTGCCATCTGCTGCATAGTTCCTTTTCAACGGCATCATGATCGTTCTAGTCTCTGGATGTCAACTGATGTAGTGAAAGCATAAACGAAAGGGATAAAATAATACAAAAACTCTCAAGTATCTTTATTAATTAAATAAGTTTGAGCTTGACTCGTTTATTAAACAAGCTGAGTGGAGCTTGAACCTTAACGAGCCAAATTCACGAACAGGTCATTTCATTCAACAACTCTAAGTATGATAATCATTGTAAATGTGAATATTGTACCTAAAATTACATCTGATCTAACACAAAGCATACTATTTGAGGAGCATAGATGATATGATATTAGGCAAACAACCAAGGCTAGCTACAAATATGAAGCCAACAAATGACAAGGAGAGACCCATCTCATCTGTCAAGCAGGGTTGTTGGGGGATGACCAAATTTGAAATAACTGAATTTTGGATGGTCACCCAACTAAAAATTTGTCACATTATCTTTGATCCCTTTGGTAAGTAATTATTCTTTAATCATACAAATGCAATTATTCAGGTCCCAAGAGAATAAAAATAAGAACTTTGTCCAAATTATGTGATATCCATTTTAAAGACAATCAGTAAACCACAAGTATTCATTTCCCTTTTTTCTCCAATAAGTCCCTCCTACTCTGTACTTTTTTATTATCTGATTCCCTCAAATTTATTGCAAGAATTCAAAAGAAAATGAAAAATAAAAAAACTAAAACATAAAAATGGGTGCTCTGCAAAAGCTTCACACTTTCCTTGCTCTCGAGTATTTTCACTAGAATAAATGCCATTAACGCCACTCTTTCTCACCTTCTCCCATTTTATGAGCTTTTTCTAATACAAATACGTAATTTGTTCACGCACATTTGCAAACTTGCAGCAGCCTATCTTCTCTCTCACTCCTCAGCAGCAGCATAAATTCTCTCTCACCTCCTCTCAAGCAAAGTCACTTTCACCTTTTTCTTTTCTTTTTTTTTTTTTTCCGAAAATGGGGTTTTCAGCAAATGGTTGTACGGCCAACTCAATAGAAGCTACCGGCGACCGTGATCTCCACGAGGAATCCGAATTCGGCGACTACGAGGTGAGATTCAAGTCGCTGCTTCACAGAATGGTGTGGGATTTCGGTTTCGGCTGCGTAATCCCGCGCCGCCACCGCCTGCTGATCTCAGGCGAGAATGGGACGGCGGAGGACGGCGGCGGGGAGCACAACAAGGCGTGGCTACTGGCGGAATCCGGCGGGTGCGGCTTGGAAGAGCCCAAATCGGTGCACTCGTCCTTCCGGTTCAGTTTGTGTTCTCAGGTGGAGCTCGAGTCCATGGCCGTCAACAGTAGCTGTTCTTCTGCAACCGTTCTCATGGTAAACTTGGACAGTGGAGTTTTGAGCAATTCCAAGTCCAGAGAGTCGAGGGGAAGAAGGATTGAATCCTTGGAGAGGAGTATAAATCCTGTGGCGCACTCTCTGATTAGGTTCACATATTCTCAAATTCTTAAGGCTACCAGAAATTTCTCTAAAGGTACCCAAATTGAATTTGCTTGAAAATTATCTGGCTATTGATACTGTTTTGCACATTAAAAAGGGGTTGTGTGATTTTAGGAGATATGTAGTAATTTACTGTTTTCCTTTCCTTTTTCCAATTTTGGGTTTATTTTTTTAGGTAGAGTACTGGGGAGAGGGGCTTTGAGCTGTGTGTTTAGGGGAAGAGTTGGATTTACAAGAACTGCAGTGGCAATAAAGAGGCTGGATAAAGAGGATAAAGAGTCTTCAAAGGCATTTTGCAGGGAATTGATGATTGCTAGCTCTTTGCATAATCCTCACATTGTACCGTTAGTCGGATTCTGTATGGATTCGGACGGAGGTCTTTTTCTTGTCTACAAATATGTTTCTGGTGGGAGCTTAGAAAAGTTCTTGCACGGTATAATTTCATTTCATTTCATTTCATTCCTTCTTTAATGACCAAAAAAAGAAAAGAATGATTTCATAATTGCAAATGCACCATTTATACTAATTTCAATTGTTCTTTGCCATGATTTGATTTGAGATGGTAACTACTTTGTCAAAGTGCAGAGAAGAAAAGAGGAGTGAGAGGTAATCCAACACTTCCATGGTCAGCTAGGTATAAAATAGCTTTGGGAATAGCTGAGGCTATAGAGTACTTACACTATGGGACTGAAAGATGTGTTGTTCATAGGGACATAAAACCCTCAAACATCCTTCTTTCCTCTAAAAGAACACCAAAGGTAAAGAAAAGAAAAACTCCTTTTTATCTTAACAAGTAATGCAAACAAACTCTTCCCCAAATCTTGTTTGATCAGATTTTATTCACTTGCTTAATGTGAATTGCTGTTAACAGTTGTGTGACTTTGGCCTGGCGACTTGGACTCCTTCGCCTTCGGTTCCGTTCCTTTGCAAGACTGTTAAGGGCACGTTTGGGTATGTGTTGCAGCTATATATAACTGGATTTTTTTATTTTTTTTTTCTGGGCTCATGTATTTTTGAATCATAACAGGTACTTGGCTCCTGAGTATTTCCAGCACGGTAAAGTGTCTGATAAAACTGATGTTTATGCATTTGGAGTTGTGCTCTTGGAATTGATAACTGGAAGGAAGCCAATTGAGTCGAAAAGAGGAGCTGGGGAAGAAAATTTGATTTCTTGGGTAAGTTGAAATTTATACCTAACTCTTGGATTTTTCTACGGGCAATTTGTAATGCTGAGGTTTGAACAGCTTTGCAAAACTCTACTTTCACAGCTTTTACTATCTAAAAATGGCAGTTTTTTTTTTTTTTTCGAACATCACACTTGGAAATTAAATCTGCCAGCAACATTTTGTTGCAAGTCACGTGCCCCATTTTGTGTGAATGAGATTGGATTTATATCAAATAGTCATCGCCCACATGTTTAGCATTTCCACGTAAAATTAAAATAAAATGAACGGGAAATGCGAGGGGTATGAGTGTATTTATTCATTTAGGATTTCTAAATAGTTTTAAAGAGTTTAGAAATCCTAATGTATTTAATTTAGACTTTTGAAAACTTTTAAAAGTTTTGAGATATTCATTTAGTATTTTAAAGTCTTACAAAATCTTGAATTATTTAACTTATTTGAATACTTTTTGAAATTTGATGGAATTTTTAAAGAAAAAACCTTATACAATATCTCACTTTAAATCTCATCTCCAAACTTCTTATTTCACTTAAGATTTCACATTTCACAGTATTCCTCCAAAATCTGAAAATCTTAAAAAGTCTTAATCTCAAAAAATCTGAAAACGTCACTCAAAATTCCAAATGAATACACCTGTGAGGTTTATGATTAATTGACAAAAGTGAAGTTTATGGAGTTTGGTGGTTAAAGTTGCTCTAATGTGTTTGATGATCTCCAAATATCTACCACATTTTTTGGCTGGTACTATACTATCCCATTAATTTCAGGCTTTTTAATTTTTCTTTACATATTAGGCAAAGCCACTACTGCAGCTAGGTAGTTTTGAAAAATTGCTCGATCCGCGGCTGAGATTCACCCAGAAGAACACGAACCAGATAGCCCGCATGGTTCGAGCTGCAGATGCTTGCTTAAACAACGAGCCTCGAAGGCCTGAGATGGGCGAAATCGTCACAATTTTAAGCGGAAATGAAACTCGAAAAAAAAGTCTCTTGCCAATAATTAACTCTGGTATGGTTGAAGCTAACCATGAGTTGCAACGTACAAAGAGCGAAATGAAAAACCATTTTGCACTAGCCATGCTCGGTGTCGAGTTTGAAGACGATGACTATCTTTACTCCCGGTGACTTCGAGACTTCCTTTTTTTTTCTTTNGCATGTGTAGAGTTGTAGTGAAAATCCCTGTCCCTCAAAGTGAATAGAAAGGTATCATGCATGTGCAGATATAATGCAAGACATCATGTTCTCTATTGTAAGATGTCATGTGAAATGATTGTAAATCATTTTCTGACATTTTTATACAGAGTGAGAGTAGTTATGGAATTATAAGTGCAATAATTTTAGAACAGAAAGAAATGACATTTCTAAAGAGTCTGTTATCATAAGATTTTCATCTTGGGTAAATTTATTAATTTACTTGCGGTTGAAGACACAAAATATCCCAGAATTAATAAATGATGAATAATCTGACCCTTCAACCCTTGTCTGATTGTTGTAGACTTGATAGCTATTAGGTATAGTTGACTATTAGGCTCAACAGAAAACTGAATTAGTTAAAAGATCAAATTTTTTTAATCATCAGATTTACAAGTGACAAACATGATATTGTATTATAAATCAAATCACAGCAAAAACATGATATTGGAATTACGGACATATATATGCTAATTATGCAAGATTAAACGAGAAGATCTATGATGCAACTGACTTGAGAAGGGCATTGAGGACAGCTTCTCGAGCAGGCAAAGCTGGAATAGCACCTCTTTCAGTCACAGTCAAAGCACCACAAGCATTTGCGAAACTTAAAGCATCTCTCAACTGATTCTCATTCTACAAAAAATCGAAGTCAAATAATCTTAAGTGTGGAAGCATCTGCATATGCTTATTAATCTTGGTAATAATGCTAATTATGCAATTAAAATTGATTTTTTAAGAATTAAATTAATTACCTGAAGCAATGAGGTATCAGAAGCCAGTTGTGATAGAAATCCGGCTACAAAAGCATCACCAGCACCAGTGGTGTCTACAGTTTGTACCTTCAAACCCTTCACTCTTCCACTAAATTCCTATACATCCCAAATAAATTAGAAATTACTAAATTAGATCAAATTTGTAACAAACAATTAAAGGGAAGAAAGGGGAAAAAAAAAAATCATTTGCAGTATTATAATTATTTTCAACTGTATATCATTTTTTCTTCTAACGTTGCATGATATAAAATTTAAAGCAGAGGAAAAACAAGCTACTTGCACTGCTGCTTCTAGTTTGAATTTTACAAACAAAAAAGCACTTTTATTATATAATTCCACTCATAAATTTGATTTCACCTTGGTGTAATATCTGCATCCTTCAGAACCTTCAGTGACAAGGAGAAGTTTGAGATTCTCATGGTACAATTTACGAACAATGTTGTCGTCATATGGGTCTTCTCCATTGGTCAAAAAGCGAATCTCCTCTTCGCTAATCTGATTTACAAAATCCGAACATAAGCGAAATCACAAATTGGAGGCATATATGATAATAATAAGTAGTTCAAATGAAAAAAAAAAACCTTAATTATATCAGCCATATCCCATATGCCAAGAATGCCTTCCCTTGCATTTTCTGCAGAAGCCCACAAAGGAAGCCTCAAATTCGGATCGTAAGACAAAATCACGCCAGCTTCTTTAGCAGCCTTTATGGCGGTAATGTGGGCCGATCTACAAGGTTCCGTGATTAAGCTTATAGAACCATAGTGGAATATTTTGGCCTAAGGGACATCAAAACAGAAAAAAATGAAATTGTAATGGGTATTTAAGATCCAAAAATAGGCTGCAATGCAATTTATTCAGTCTTCAACAGAAATATATGCACTGAAATTATTAAAAAATATATATATTTGAAGGTTTAAAATAAATTAAAAAATCCAGTTAGTTTTATTAAAGTTAATCCTTGAAGGATTTGTCTTGTGAGTCCAATTAATTTAATTCATACTGATTTTAACCATGACAAGCCATTCATATTTTGTCTTTAGGCACCATTATTTACCTTCTTGATCAACTCAAAGTTAAGTTCGGCCTCTTGCAGTAACATATCGGCACTCGGGTTTCGATAAAACATGAATTCACGTTCGCCATCCTTTGTCAGGCTCACGAATGCTAAAGCTGTTCGAGCCCCTGAATCGAACCTCATCCCTTCGTTATTTACATTGTTCTCCTTTAGAATGTTGGCAAGCATGTATCCAAACTCATCCTCGCCCACCTGATCCCACAAAACCCAAACAAAACTTAAAAAATAAAATAATAAGTAAAATGAAGATCCTTTCATAGCAAATTTAGGCAAATTTGCCCCTAATATCACGACCTTTATCGAACTTGCAATTTAATCATGATCTTTATACTTTTGCAAATTATATCACAATCTTTAGGTTTGTTGCAAAGTCATAGAAAAGCAGAAAAGCTGATGTGGTCGAACAACAAAAAAACTGAAGATTGTGATATAGTTTGAACGGGATATGCAAATCGGTGCACCAATTTGCAATGTGATATAATTTGCAAAAGTAAAAAAGTCGTGATTCAATTGCAATTTCGAAAAAGGTCAGGATATTAAGGGCAATTTTGCCGCAATTTATGTCTACTCAAATTCAGTAACAAGATTTTCCCATTTTTTTTTTCATTTATAGTCTAGTGATGTGTGTTTCGACTAAAATTACCTTTCCTATGAAAGCCGATGAGCCACCAAGACGCGCAATGCCAACCGCAACATTAGCAGGGGCACCTCCAGCAGCTTTGTTAAAAGCAGGTGCTTCGGCTAATGAGACTCCACTAACCGTAGGTACAAAGTCGATTAGCAGTTCCCCAAAGCAGACCACAAGAGGGGACTCTTTGCTTTCAACTGCTCCATTACCACTTTCTAATCCTTTTCCTACATATTTAAACATTCTGGAACATTAATTGAACAAAAATTGAGAAGGAAAAATGATCTTGAAATTATTATCAAAAAACAGAAAAAGTCCCACATCCAATAATTTTTACATATTCCAAGATACTGATTGGGTTAACAACAAATAGTAAAGAAAATGGATCTCTGTATATATATTGTGCAAGAGACAGCCTAAAATGTTCTAAATTGAACATACGAGTAAACTAAGGAAGCACAGAAATTAAAAAAAAAAAAATT